TGCCAAAATAAAAGCATTCACATTGCTAAACTCAAACATTATGATGTAGTCACTTAGCCTTAATACCATAATCTGTAAATACCGAATTACAGAAAATATCTACCTGGATGAGGACTAACAAACTTACACTAAACATTGACAAAACCTACTTCATTCAGTTTGGTAACAGAGCTACAGATGTCCCTCTTAACATAATGATAAATGGATCACCTATCACAAAACTAACAGAGGGAAAATTCTTAGGAATCCACCTTGATAATAGACTCAAATTTCATACACATATACATCAAATTTCTAAGAAAATTTCCAAGACTGTAGGCATACTATCGAAGATACGGTACTATGTTCCACAGTCAGCCCTCCTGGCCCTATATCACTCTCTTATTTACCCCTATCTCACCTATGGAATTTGTGCATGGGGCTCAACAACAATTAACCATCTCAGACCACTAATTACCCAACAAAAGGCTGCAGTTAGAATGATAACAAATTCTCACTACAGGCAGCACACTCCACCAATATTCAATACACTAAACCTACTCACCATACAAAACATCCATACTTATTACTGCACCTATTACATACATAGAACACTTAACTCTGATATTAACCCTCCCCTCAAACATCTCCTTGCCAACCTCAACAGAACACATGACCATAACACAAGGCACAGATCACTCTTTGATGTTCCTCGTGTCCATCTCACACTATGCAAAAACTCAATGCACATAAAAGGCCCTAAAATCTGGAATTCATTACCTGTAAATATAAAAGAAACACAACCTGTTTATAAATTCAAGTCTCTTCTCAAAGATTACTTACTCACCCAAAACCAAATAAATACTGAATAACTGAACATTATAAATTGTATATCTTAAATGTTTCTCACAATTATATCACATAAATGTTAAACCTAAAACCCAATCTAACTTATTATTTTTTAAATACACTACCTAACAGAATCACTACCTAACTGAATGCAACCATATGACCTGTCTTTGTAATACTCACTTGTGCTTTATAGTTATCTGTTTACATTAATGTTTTATCACTGATTTCATCATTGCTTAGTAGCAGCGCTGTATAGTCCTTGTGGCTTAGCGCTTCTTTTTGATTATAATAATAATAATAATCATTGCTTAGTTAATCTTAAGTTAATTTTAAGCCAGCCCGTAATGCTATGCATAGTATAAGTGGCTTTGGCATACTGCTCTTATCTGTATTTTTTTGTACCTCTGTATGTGTGCACAAATTGGAAATAAATAAATAAATAAATAAATAAAAGTTAAGAATTAATCTAAGTCTGCTCGAAATGCCTAGCCATGCTAGGTGTCCTAGTGGCCCCCTCTGTAATTAATATTTTATAACATGTAAACCACACAATACCCAAATCCTGTAAACCCCACATTGTAACCCTTATAGAGAATAAACTTGAATTGAATTGAATAGAAGTAGACAGGGAAGCGATTTTACGGACGTATGAGGAGGCACTCACATGCTCTGTAGACTTTGTCTTGTAGAGTCACAGACGCTCTGACTCCTATCTTACTTAGTCTCCCTGCGATCCCCGTTGGGGAGGGGACCCTCTACCTTTCGTCTTCATCCTTGGATCAAGATGAATTCTCCAGTCAAGATCAATCCCTCCAGTGGGACGGTGAATGACTCTACGAAACTTGCCCTTGCCACTGCCGTTAGGAGTGGCCTTAATGTCAAGTTCAACACAATTCTGACACTGAAAGAAGTTTGCGACGACGATGTCGAAGCAGAAAAACTACTTACCTCATCTGCTATGATTATTCTCTTAGACAGTGGCTTTCAAGTCATGTCATCTCCAGCAAATCGTGCCAAAAGATCTGTCTTTTTGAAAAGGCTTGATACACTTATCACCTCTCAACCTCTCAACGACCTGAAGACTTCTACTGAAGATCAAAATCCTTCGGCAAAGGTTGAACACATCTCCAAGATACCTACAGCCTCATCCATGTTGAAAATTACGTTCTCGAATGTGACTATGGCTGCCCAAGCTATGGCTGACGGTCTGGCCATTCACTACTATTTTATAAACTCTCATCACATTGAAGCTGAACGTTATCATCATGTCACTCAGTGTTGGAGTTGCTACTCATGTCTACATACCACAAAAGACTGTCCTATTAAGGATACTAAGTTCTGCTCTACCTGTGGGACTGAAGGCCTCGACTTCAAGACCTGCACCGCCACTACTCCACCTAAGTGTCTAAATTGCAAGAATGACCATCATACTCTTGCTGTCCGATGCCCCACACGTCGTGAAGTTCTGAAGACCCAGGAAGCTGAACATAACTTCAGGCAGACACCACAAAGCTTCTCAAAGCCACTCTACCCTCCACCACCACCGACGAAAATTCATTACTGTCTGATGTATGCTCACATGCACAATATGGCGATGCCTGGCTCTTTTAACACTGTCATTAACGAGCTGTTTGAACTGAACAACATGCCCAAGTTCATCTTCCCAGCCTCTCCACCATCTGCCGACATTATCAAGTTCACAAGAGATTTAGTCAATGTCGCAACACCTGCACGCCCTTCTCAAGCAGCTCCTCCACCACCACCACCATCTCCAAGCGACGTCACTCCAACTCCAACCAATGAGGTGCCTTATTATTATTATTAAAGATTAGCCGGTATTCTCCCGGCCCGGGCCTTTTCCAAGTGGTGGCCCGGCCTTGGCTTCCTCTTTAGGAGTGTCTGAGACCTAAGTTTCCCATGGGAGGAGGCACAAGTACCTCCTCATCTTTGGGACCAACTGTCCCCAGGCCTAGCCACAAGCTAGGCCTCTCTAGTCTGCCATCCCCGCCCCAAGGGGGCAAATGGGAATGACAGTCTTATGAGCTAAAGGCTCGGGCTCAGGCACCTACCCTACCCTAGAAGGGTTAGGCATGGTGTCGATCAATGAGGTGCCTTCGTTGCCTCCACTCATCTCAGAAAGCAACCAATCAGCACCCTCCATGCCACTAGCAGCTTTTTCTGCCTTAACTGCAAGGGACCAATCAGAGACCTCCCCCAAAACGCCAGAACCACCTGCCAAGAAGGCAAAAACTACGCCAACCACACCATCTTATGCATCAAGAATGGATACAGTTCCATATGAAGACCGCACTTCTTTCGTCCACTGGACTGGCTTAACTTTCTATACCACACCTCATCACGATCAAGAATTGTCTACATACGACCTGTGCAAGAATCTTGCGAACAATACAGTCAAATATATCTGCGGCCCAGACGTCGTCTGCTTCTTCTCAACACTCCTTGAAGCATTACAACAATTCATAGATGACAATGCACATGAAAACAAAAAAAAAAAAAAACTAGACTCAACCTTGTCCCTGTATCAAGATTCAAGACTATTAAAATGGATCCAGCACTGACAAATTGGACGTTGTGAAACATCGTCACAACTCCAAATAAATTCTCTCCACCGACCACTCACCATGTAGCAGCTACCTTTCTCCAATTCCAACATCCTGCCTTCCTGCCGACCACCGGTCACAAATCACCATCAAGACTGAGTTTCGCCCACCATGCAAGTTACAGTCAGCCTCTGTTGTGTTCTCGTGCCTTCTACATCCACAACTCTTACCAAACCAGTGCTTTCCTATATCCTTCCTGAATCTGAATTTTTCCAATTTGAAACCAGTGCTGCGAGTCCTGTCTTGGCTGGATATTTTCAGCACGCTATTTACATCCCCTTTATTTATTCCTGTTTTCCATTTATACACCTCAGTCATATCCCCCCTAATTCTACGCCTTTCTAGAGAGTGCAGATTCAGGGCCCTCAGTCTATCGTCATATGGAAGATTTCTGATACATGGGATCAACTGTTAGACCAACACATACAGTGAACGGGTCTTGTGTGAAAAGGACCCATGTCAAGTAATTCCCTGACGAATAAGCCAATATAACACTCTTACGTTAACAATATCAAGAGAAGCCTTGCCACAGCCAGCTGCCTAGGACTAAAGAAACTTCAACTATGCTGATTAGATGACAGTCAAGGAAAAGCCCAGATGAAGTCACCATGGAGTTGTATTCAAAGAGGCGTGCTGCCGATTATTATTATTATTATAATCAAAGGGGAAGCGCTAAACCCGGAGGATTATACAGCGCCTGGGGGGGGATGTGGAAGGCATTCAGGCTTAATTCGGAGAACTGGAGCACAGATCCAATTCCCTAAATCAAGAGCCCCTCACCAACATCAAGGAACCTTCCTTGAGGGGGCGCCGAAAATAGTGAACAAAATACACACTTTGCAGAGCAAGCATTATGCTATGTAAATATTTATAAAGTCAAAAGTATGCAGTAATTGAATGATAGCTTTAGGCCTTTCGTGCTGCAGTCAACACTTCATCAGGAACTTGCTGTGTTGCAGAAATAGTAATAAATCGAAGCAGATTCGTTCTGGGGAACGACTCTTTGCAGAACTCGGGAGAGAGTAGTTCCCCTGAACGAATCTGCCTGGATTTTTTACTCTATTTCTGCAATATTGCAAGCTCCCGATCTCTTGATTACAACATGAAAGACCTACTTATCATTCAACTACCCCTTTGGTTATTTTGCAAACGTATATGTATGCGCTGAATTGAGTTGAGGCTTTTATTTTAATACTTTCCTTGATCTAATACCAGTCATCAGTTGGAATATTGGACATATACTCCAAGTAGAAAGTCATGCATGTAACGCCATGAACTAGTTGACATGAATCTCCGGTGCTCATACTGAGGTAGGATGTTTGTTTCACCATGTATTCCTGCAGTCATGCTCATCCCTTACCTTGCTCGAACTCCGTGCACCTAGTTGCCGGAAGAAATATAACACCCCTCGTTTTTATATTTGCATTTACCTTTCATGTCTGTGTTAGCTTAATTTTCCTGCTGTATTTTGCTTTTATTCATTCGTGTGGTCTTCAGGGTACCGTTGTTGTGTTGTTTTAAAATGTTCCTTTAATTCTCTGGAACTAGCAAGCCCTTGACCTACGCTCTGGTGTCTACTATGTACGGCACGGACCACATGCACAACTTCGTCGGGATGGAGCCGTCTGGTCGCTACTTCAATGAGCTTTGCCTCGATTATAACAGTAAGTAGTTGGGACGTCGTGCATGGTGCTTTTCCTGCTTACCAGACCATGCCTTAAAGGGTAAGGTTTTGTTTACTTCTCCTTTAAGACTCATCACAGGAATGGACGAGGAAAATGCATGTGGAAATCGACACGAGAATTAAGTCTGTTATTAAGAACATGCATGGTCAGGTAAGAACATAGCCAAAGCATCTGAGTCAGACTACGAGGAAGAGTAGCTGTTGAGGCAGGTGTGGTAAGAGACAACGCATAACGCGGGTCTCTCTCTGCAGCTACGCACTGAACTACGCGCTGGCACTGGGACAACTGAGTGACGTGGGAGTTCACATCTACGTTGGTATGGAACCATCTGGCCGCCACTACAACGAGCTATGTCTCGACTACAACAGTATGTCCTTCAGAAAACCTCCGTTCCTCCAGTCTATCTTCGGCTTCTGTTTGGTCTTTCAGTTCATAGCCTCTGACTCTCTTTCTAGGGGCAATAACAGTCAATGGTTGATTAATCTTGCATCCTAATTAGCCATACCTGCTGTTTCTAACTCCTCTTAACCTATCGCTAGTGTGAAGGCGTCTAAATCAGCTTGTATCTTAGCATCAATTGCCTTCGCTGTGTTAACTATATATATATATTATATATATTATATATATATATATATATATATATATATATATATATATATATATATATATATATATATATTTTATATATATTGAAAGAATTAAGAGTAAGACGGAGAATAGGATAGCAGATGAACAAGGAGGCTTTAGGAAAGGTAGGGGGTGTGTGGACCAGGTGTTTACAGTGAAACATATAAGTGAACAGTATTTAGATAAGGCTAAAGAGGTCTTTGTGGCATTTATGGATTTGGAAAAGGCGTATGACAGGGTGGATAGGGGGGCAATGTGGCAGATGTTGCAAGTGTATGGTGTAGGAGGTAGGTTACTGAAAGCAGTGAAGAGTTTTTACGAGGATAGTGAGGCTCAAGTTAGAGTATGTAGGAAAGAGGGAAATTTTTTCCCAGTAAAAGTAGGCCTTAGACAAGGATGTGTGATGTCACCGTGGTTGTTTAATATATTTATAGATGGGGTTGTAAGAGAAGTAAATGCGAGGGTCTTGGCAAGAGGCGTGGAGTTAAAAGATAAAGAATCACACACAAAGTGGGAGTTGTCACAGCTGCTCTTTGCTGATGACACTGTGCTTTTGGGAGATTCTGAAGAGAAGCTGCAGAGATTGGTGGATGAATTTGGTAGGGTGTGCAAAAGAAGAAAATTAAAGGTGAATACAGGAAAGAGTAAGGTTATGAGGATAACAAAAAGATTAGGTGATGAAAGATTGAATATCAGATTGGAGGGAGAGAGTATGGAGGAGGTGAACGTATTCAGATATTTGGGAGTGGACGTGTCAGCGGATGGGTCTATGAAAGATGAGGTGAATCATAGAATTGATGAGGGAAAAAGAGTGAGTGGTGCACTTAGGAGTCTGTGGAGACAAAGAACTTTGTCCTTGGAGGCAAAGAGGGGAATGTATGAGAGTATAGTTTTACCAACGCTCTTATATGGGTGTGAAGCGTGGGTGATGAATGTTGCAGCGAGGAGAAGGCTGGAGGCAGTGGAGATGTCATGTCTGAGGGCAATGTGTGGTGTAAATATAATGCAGAGAATTCGTAGTTTGGAAGTTAGGAGGAGGTGCGGGATTACCAAAACTGTTGTCCAGAGGGCTGAGGAAGGGTTGTTGAGGTGGTTCGGACATGTAGAGAGAATGGAGCGAAACAGAATGACTTCAAGAGTGTATCAGTCTGTAGTGGAAGGAAGGCGGGGTAGGGGTCGGCCTAAGAAGGGTTGGAGGGAGGGGGTAAAGGAGGTTTTGTGTGCGAGGGGCTTGGACTTCCAGCAGGCATGCGTGAGCGTGTTTGATAGGAGTGAATGGAGACAAATGGTTTTTAATACTTGACGTGCTGTTGGAGTGTGAGCAAAGTAACATTTATGAAGGGATTCAGGGAAACCGGCAGGCCGGACTTGAGTCCTGGAGATGGGAAGTACAGTGCCTGCACTCTGAAGGAGGGGTGTTAATGTTGCAGTTTAAAAACTGTAGTGTAAAGCACCCTTCTGGCAAGACAGTGATGGAGTGAATGATGGTGAAAGTTTTTCTTTTTCGGGCCACCCTGCCTTGGTGGGAATCGGCCAGTGTGATAATAAAATAAAATAAAAATATATATATATATATATATATTATATATATATATATTATATATATATATATATATATATATATATATATATATATATATATATATATATATAAATAACATACAAATAGGTAAGTACATACACGTAAACCTGGACGGGAGTCTAACCCAAGGTATGTGCGTGGAAGTCTGTGCCCTACCATTGTGCTGTGGTGGCTCATTAGAAGAGAACACCCATCACTTGGTAATGTTAACAGACACCACAGTCACAGTCTGCAACATCAACTACAAGTTTTTATTATAGTTCTCTTCACCACTACCAACAGTCTTAGTGGTAGATCTAGTTCCTGTCCCTTCAAAACCGGAGTCAATGTAATCAGAAAAAATCGTAAGAGCTGTCTTTTTATTCCTTGAATAAAGCCTGGTTTTCCTGGTGCAGTGTGACCCCTATGGGTTTAACATTTTTCCCTTGAGTTAAATAATCCCTGGACCCGCCCTGGTTAGCACGCTAACCTTAGTAATATCGAGCAAGCTATAATTTGTTTGTATAATATTTCATTTAGTTTGTCTATAACCTGGTCAACAAATTAAACATTATTTTCTCATCAAAGATTTAAATAAATTTGTATGAACTCGATTTTAACTCTGATTCCAAATCTGTTCTTAATCTTTCCAGCACATCCTGTTTTCGTATGTATATATATATATATATATATATATATATATATATATATATATATATAATATATATATATATATATATATATATATATATATATATATAAATATATATATATATATATATATATATATATATATATATATATATATATATATATACATATATATATATATATATATATATATATATATATATATATATATATATATATATATATGTATGTATGTATGTATATATGCAAAACAACCACTCTGAAAGAATAGAGAAGTTCCAAGCGCTTTCGTGACTACTCACATTATCAAGGAACTATGAAAGTAAAGCATCCAAGGAAGCTATATAAGGGGTCTGGCCAGCACCTCACTATCAGATCCCACAACGGTTAAACACCTGACGCGCGCCGACCCAGCTGGATAGGTCCTTTGCACAACTCACCCACAAACTATTCTACCCAAGACAATTTAAAAATTATTATTTGTCCAGTGTATTATTAAATTCTTCCCAAATTCTATTAATTATAAATGGATCTAATTTATATAAACCAAAGGAAATATTCATATTATTGTCAAAACTGCTTTTTATGAAACAAGATTCAATTATATTCCTGTCGACCATGGACTTGCTTGATGCTACTTTCTCAACTTTTTGAAATTCAATTGAGAAAGTAAGAAAGAAAGAAAGAAAGCGCTTGGAACTTCTCTTTTCTTTCACAGTGGTTGGTGAATGATTCAATGGTAGGAAAATCCAATATTCTTGAAGCTTTTATCCATCAAGTAGGCCCATAAATAATTATATATATATATATATATATATATATATATATATATATATATATATATATATATATATATATATATATATATATAATGTGCCGAATGGGTAAAATTGGTCAGTTAGCAAGAACTCATTTAAAATTAAGTCCTTTCTAAAATTTTCTCTTCTACTTTTAAACATACATTTTTTCATTTACGGTAATGTAAAAATTAATGAATTTGTGCCAAAATAACCTTAGAAAAATTACGTAACTATTATAACAAGCAGAATTTAATTTAGCCTAATCCTAATATATTTTAGATAAGTTTACAATAAACACAATGAAATATATTTTTTTCGTTAGGTTCAGAAATTATTTTTGCGAAATTATTGGATACACAAATTTTCGCTTGCCTTGTTCGGCAAGGGTCGGATGCAAAAAGTGGGTTATATTAAGTTTTTATGCACCCGGAGAAGAGAGGAGTGTAGAGGAGAGAGATTTTGGGAGATGTAAAGCTAGTGTTTAGGCAGTTTTGAACTAAGTGAGAGAGTAATTATGGTAAGGAATATGAATGCTAAAGTGGGAGAAATAGTTATAGATGGTGTGGTAGGTAAGTTTGGAGTTCCTTTGAACTTTGTGTAGAAAGGGGTTTGGTAATAGGTAATACATATTTTAAGAAAAAAATGATAAATAAGTATACAAGATATGATATAGGGCATAATGACAATAGTTTGTTGGACTACGTACTGGTAGATAAGACTGATACGTAGACTATAGGATGTGCATGTTTACACAGGGGCCACAGATATTGCAATAATTTTTTAGTTGCAGCTCCAGTGAGAGTAAAATGTAGATGGGATACAAGGAGATTGGCATCAGCGAGTAAGAGAGAGGTGAAAGTCTATGGACTAAAGGAGGATGCAGTTAGGGTAATATATAATCAACTATTGGAAGAAAGATGGGTTAGTAAGAGGTTGAAGAGGTATGGGGTTGATTTATGAATGTAGTGTTAGTGTTCAGCTGAAGTGTGTGATTACAGAAAAGTGGATGCAGGAGGGAAGAAAAGCAATTGGTGGAGTGATGAAGTAAAGAAAGTAGTAAGAGAGAAAAAGTTAGCATTTGAGAGGTTTTTACAAAGTAGAAGTGGTACATGACCTCCGTTTTGAATTAGAAATGAGATTTTAGTGCTAAAGAGGCTACATGACCAAATTTGGGGTATTCTAGAGGTTGAAAATAAGGGGCTGGATGGTCGCTTCTTGCCACCATCCAGTCCACATTTGGATATTAGAAATGCCCCAAAACAGGCGCCAAAGTGGCGTGATTTAGTGGTAAAATGGACTTTTGGATGGTCTTCTTGATAGAAAGGAAGGCTGTATCGTTCATTTCTCGCCAGACACGCTTACTACGGACGGTCTGCTGGGGAAATAGTTTAAATTTAGTTCTTTTTAACTGGTGCAAGTGCCTTAAAATAGGCATCAAATTGGCAAGAATCAGCTGTTTTTGGTACCATTTCCTCTGCGGCCTATCTATCCTGAACAGAATTCTAGGCTTCTCTAGACCTCTGTTGACCCTCAGACACTACCTAGAACGTTGCTAGATATAAAAGAGCTTCATTCTTATATCGATATTTATGGAAGAATTAAAGAAATAACCGAGTTTGAATACATACCATACAAAATTAAATGATGAATTTCGCTATAGTGTTGTGATGCCGTTAGTTTCTGCATATTTTCTATAGGTAATCAGCTATTTTAGCTCACTACAAATCAGACAAGACAGTGGAATATCCCCTTATTGCAAATGTTGAATTTGCCTGTAAAAGATCGAAGAAATATGATCGATCTTATCTGGAAAACTTTAGTGGTAAAGGAAGATAGAATACGGTTGTGGAATCAGCCTCAAAATATCTCACATTGCACCTCAAACATTATCTCTGGTGAAAATTCTTTGTTGACTAGTGAATTTGTTTGCATTTATTCAAACGTTAACCCTTTTGAGCGTAACAGCCATAACACTTTTTGTAGTATAGATGTTTCTAGTACATCTAGCCTAAGATAATAATAGTCAACTTTTTTTTACACATTAATTTTACAGGCTAAGCTGTTATCCTACCTTAGCTCTCTTCAAAACCCGGTTCTGTCTAAGCCTTAGAACCTACCATTCCTGGGGTGATAGTATACCTGAGATTCTAAGGTATACTACTATCCTTGGGATGAGACCCACAACCGTTGACTAACTCCCAGGTAACTACTTACTGCTAGGTGAACAGAGGCAGCAGGTGTAAGGAAATATGCCCAATGTTTCCACCCGTGCCGGGGATCGAGCCGCTGACATTCAATATGTGAGCTGAGTGCGCTGACTTTATAAGCAATGGACTGAAATAACAAGAACATTTATTGAACATTATAATGAATGTTAGAGCAAATATTGTGCAGTGCACAATCAGAATGGCATGCTCCTCACTATTGAACAAAAGGCAGAAGTTACAAAAGCTTTTATTGTGACAACATTTCGCTGTTTTATGAAATCATAACTTGATAAAGCTCTAACACATCTCAAACAACTCTACCATGATTTGATAAAGCTGTAACAGAGCGAAACGTCGTTCAAATAAAATCTTTTCCAACAACCTGTGTTTTCAGCAATACACGGTATAATAATATTTTTTGAGTGAATTTTAAGATTTTTATGCTTCTATAGTTTCATCTTGCAGTAGTGTGGTGCTCCTGGCATTGTTACTTGTAGGTGCATTGTAGTAATCAGCATGTTGTGCCACTATGATGGTTTTTCCAAATTTTGATCTATAGCAATCTTTTCACTTTTTTTTTTTTTTGCAACCTTACACTGTAATGAAATGAATTTGTCTTTCTCCAGAAAGCTTTTTCTATCTCAAAAACTGGCCGGTATACATTGGTTCCCAAACTCCTGGGCCTTATGATATCTACTCTTGAAACTGTTTGATTTAGTTCAATCCACTAGTCTACCACCTCAAGACTGAAGAGATATTTTCTAACTTCTCTGTAGCTCGTCTCTCTTCTACCTGTGCTCTCTTGTACTTGTGCCTGGCACTGAAACAGTATGTCCCTGTCTGCTCTATTGAAACCTTATAGGTTATCGTATCCTTTCTTGTTCCAAGTCTGGTTATCAGATCTGGTTCATTTAGCCTCTCATAATTCATCCCTCTCAGGTGTGGAACAAGCCTAGTTACAAATATCTTTAATTTCTCCAGCTTCTAAACGTGCTGTTTTCTCAGATGTAGAGTCCACGTTGGCGTTTCGCATCCTAAAATCGGTCTAACATGCGTCGAATACAATGTGATAAAGAATTCCTTATTGGGGTTTCTAAAAGTTGCTAGTTTCAGATGCGCCGCTGATGTAATGTGGTTTATATACGCCTCTGACAATATGTTCTTTGTAATTATTACTCCAAGGTACTTTGTATTTGCCCCCTTTAACTTCTTTCCTCTCGGTTTATACTTTCTCTGATCTTCCTTCATCACCTCTCCGATCTGAATTACCTCCAGTAGCTGCTTAATTGACTCGTCAAGTCTTTTATAACGTGTCTCCATCTTTTTGTGTTCTTATTCTTATTAGTTTTACGTCATCATCGAACAGTAATGGTACCATCACCGATTCTTAGAGAACTCCACTGGTTACTTTCACCCATTCTGATGTTTCCTGCCTTGCCGCCATTCTTTGTCTTCAATTTGAGAACTTTTCCTTGCACCCTTACCTGCTCTTTCAATTTGTGCGTCCCTCTCCTATGTGGTTTCGTATCGAATGTCTTCTTTTAGTCCTACAAAATGCAGTCGACCCATCCATGTCTCCCTAGCTTAATTTCCATTATCCTGTTACAAAATTCCAACAATTTCATGAGGCAAGACTTTCCTTCCCTAAAATCATGCTGGTTTTCTACATTGAGGTTCCTCCCCTCCAGATGCATCTTTTTCTGATTATGTATTTTTCCAGTTTATTTCTTTCTAGCTAGTCTACTTGTGTGTGTGTGTGTGTTTTATCAGATACTAGACGGTACCTTCCTGCTGTTAAAATGATTCAACCTATCTAAACTTTCGGTCCTTAATGTACATTAATGTCATGGAAGGAGAGTTAGCCTCTGCAACATCCACATTTGTCTGTCACACAAAATGAGATAAGAAAGTTACAACACTAAATCGTCAAAGATTACAAACTGACCTAAACATCTTAGTAAATTGTACTATTGAATGTCAGATGAATTTCAGTATTTAATGCAAAGTAATACATATTGGAAAGAAGACTGAAAAAGCAGGTTAGTTTGTGAAAACCATAGAAATAATAAAATACAAATTATGAAAACGATGAAGTGACAACTAATTTGAAGCCAAGTAGGCAGCTAGAAGGTAGCGCCTCTTTACATACCCACGTTCTTTTTTTTCAAAATTAATTTGCTGCCAGTTTTCTCAGGCTGACAGTTCATTACGTCACGTGCTAAACTCATCTTGTGTGATGGAGTATGACAGGGGCATCAACCTGTCTGATAGCTGTGTTACATAAACATAGATTTTAGTTTAACCTTGTAAAATGTCATATAGATCACTGTAGTCGCATACAGAGGTTATAATTAATTTTGATTAATCCAAATACCTATCCTCGCCACTCTTTGTAGCCTTCACTAATGGAACACTAGGTTGTTGCCACTCGATCTGTGTATTGATATGAACTAAGTTCCCAGCAGAAGAAATTTACCTCGCAGTTGGCTAAGACTTGATAGGCTACAAGTGTATGTCGTCCTAACTAGATTATAGCCTACTCATACCCTTGTTGGAAACTAGATATCCAACATTATTACTGGAGTGCGAGTTTTTTTTTTTTTACAGTATGGACAGGCGGGTAACAAACGTGTTAATAAAACTAGCAGTAAATTCAAGTCTTATTGGTAGAAAATGAAATAGTAATTTTAGGTGATGTGTATCTGTGCCTCATATATCTTAAAAAATTCTGTTGTATATTTACATACCTTTATGTATACTCGAGTTAATGGATTCTTTGTTCCTTCCGAACAGATAAACCTCACAACCCTATGATCAACGCTGGTGCCATCATGACAGCTGCACTGCTCAAGGTGAGAGAACACACCTCACCCTGGTGCTCAGGGTGAGAGAACACACCTCACTGGTGCTCAAGGTGAGAGAACACACCTCACCCTGGTGCTCAAGGTGAGAGATCACACCTCACTGGTATTCAAGGTGAGAGATCACACCTCACTGGTACTCAAAGTGAGAATTCTCACCTCACTGGTGCTCAAGGTGAGAACTCACACCTCACTGGTACTCAAGGTGAAAACTCACACCTCACTGGTACTCAGGGTGAGAGATCACACCTCACTGGTGCTCAAGGTGAGAACTCTCACCTCACTGGTGCTCAGGGTGAAAGATCACACCTCATACTGGTGCTCAAGGTGAGAGAACACACCTCACTGGTGCTCAAGGTGAGAGAACACACCTCACTGGTGCTCAAGGTGAGAGAACACACCTCACTGGTGCTCAAGGTGAGAGAACACACCTCACTGGTGCTCAAGGTGAGAGAACACACCTCACTGGTGCTCAAGGTGAAAGATCACACCTCACTGGTACTCAAGGTGAGAACTCACACCTCACTGGTACTCAAGGTGAGAACTCACACCTCACTGGTACTCAGGGTGAGAGAACACACCTCACTGGTGCTCAAGGTGAGAGAACACACCTCACTGGTGCTCAAGGTGAGAGAACACACCTCACTGGTGCTCAAGGTGAGAGAACACACCTCACTGGTGCTCAAGGTGAGAGAACACACCTCACTGGTGCTCAAGGTGAGAGAACACACCTCACTGGTGCTCAAGATGAGAACTCACACCTCACTGGTACTCAAGGTGAGAACTCACACCTCACTGGTACTCAGGGTGAGAGAACACACCTCACTAGTACTCAAGGTGAGAACTCACACCTCACTGGTGCTCAAGGTGAGAACTCACACCTCACTGGTACTCAAGGTGAGAACTCACACCTCACTGGTACTCAGGGTGAGAGAACACACCTCACTAGTACTCAAGGTGAGAACTCACACCTCACTGGTGCTCAAGGTGAGAACTCACACCTCACTGGTGCTCAAGGTGAGAACTCACACCTCACTGGTACTCAAGGTGAGAACTCACACCTCACTGGTACTCAGGGTGAGAGAACACACCTCACTAGTACTCAAGGTGAGAACTCACACCTCACTGGTGCTCAAGGTGAGAACTCACACCTCACTGGTGCTCAAGGTGAGAACTCACACCTCACTGGTACTCAAGGTGAGAAACTCACACCTCACTGGTACTCAGGGTGAGAGAACACACCTCACTGGTACTCAAGGTGAGAACTCACACCTCACTGGTACTCAGGGTGAGAGAACACACCTCACTAGTACTCAAGGTGAGAACTCACACCTCACTGGTGCTCAAGGTGAGAACTCACACCTCACTGGTGCTCAAGGTGAGAACTCACACCTCACTGGTACTCAAGGTGAGAACTCACACCTCACTGGTACTCAGGGTGAGAGAACACACCTCACTGGTACTCAAGGTGAGAGATCACATCTCACACTGGTGTTCAGGGTGAGAGATCACATCTCACACTGGTGTTCAGGGTGAGAGATCACACCTCACACTGGTGTTCAGGGTGAGAGATCACACCTCACACTGGTGTTCAGGGTGAGAGGTCACACCTCACCCTGGTGTTCAGGGTGAGGGGTCACACCTCACCCTGGTTTTCAGGGTGAGAGATCACACCTCACACTGGTGTTCAGGGTGAGAGATCACACCTCACCCTGGTGTTCATGGTGAGAGATCACACCTCACCCTGGTGCTTAGGGTGAGAGATCACACCTTACACTGGTGTTCAGGGTGAGAGGTCACACCTCACCCTGGTGTTCAGGGTGAGAGATCACACCTCACCCTGGTGCTTAGGGTGAGAGGTCACACCTCACCCTGGTGTTCAAAGTGAGAGGTCACAGCCTGTAGTTTTACTTGGGGTGGGAAATGATTACTAAAATTTATGCTCATTTAGAGTTTCTGCACCATCCATGCCTCTTTCTATATGTTATCCCTATCTCTGTTCTTTATCTACGTCTCTATACATTATCCATATCTAAATCTGTGCGTTATCCATCTCTGCGTCATTCAAGTTTTTGTCATCCATGCCCTTTCTTTTCGTCATCCATGATTTTATCTGTGCACCATCCACGTCTATCTTTACGTTATACATCTCTTTATGCGTTATCTATGTCTCTATCTGTGCGTCATCCATGTCTGTCAGGGTCAACGATGTCTCCTACCATACGCAGTTTGGTGTCGTTCTTGCTTCCTCAAACAGGATCAAGAGCCCCACACTAGCATGATGGCATTCCATCGAGGGGTCATTCAGTAAACATTTAATATAATCAAAGATGTTTTAATTACAATAGTAAGAAAACTAGAGACAAATTTATAAAAAAAATTACCTCATAAGACAGTGTGTGGACCCCATGAGGTATTTCTCACCGTACATTCAGCAAGTGTGTACACACCTAAATGTGGTTGCAGGGGTCGACCCATATGTATTAGTGTAAATTCATTAATAATTTACTAAAATCTTTGTAGCAGGGAATCGGCTGTTCTACAGTTAACGTGTTCTCGATGTTAGTGTATGTGTATTTTGTTTACCTTAGTAACTCGCAGTCAGTCAGTTGGTCTTACAACGTAAAACTAAGTAAACATCCTAGTAATAACATTCATGCTAGTAATAACATACATACTAGTAATAACATACATGCTGGTAATAACATACATGCTAGTAATAACATACATGCTAGTAATAACATACATACTAGTAATAACATACATGCTGGTAATAACATACATGCTAGTAATAACATACATGCTAGTAATAACATACATACTAGTAATAACATACATGCTGGTAATAACATACATGCTAGTAATAACATACATGCTGGTAATAACATACATGCTGGTAATAACATACATGCTAGTAATAACATACATGCTAATAATAACATACATGCTGGTAATAACATACATGCTGGTAATAATATACATGCTGGTAATAATATACATGCTGGTAATAATATACATGCTAGTAATAATATACATGCTAGTAATAACATACATGCTGGTAATAACATACATGCTAGTAATAACATACATGCTGGTAATAATATACATGCTGGTAATAATATACATGCTGGTAATAATATACATGCTAGTAATAATATACATGCTAGTAATAACATACATGCTGGTAATAACATACATGCTAGTAATAACATACATGCTAGTAATAACATATATGCTGGTAATAACATACATGCTAGTAATAACATACATGCCGGTAATAACATACATGCTAGTAATAACATACATGCTAGTAATAACATACATGCTAGTAATAACATACATGCTAGTAATAACATACATGCTAGTAATAACATATATGCTGGTAATTACATACATGCTAGTAATAACATACATGCTGGCAATAATATACATGCTGGTAATAATATACATGTTAGTAATAATATACATGCTAGTAATAACATACATGCTAGTAATAACATACATGCTAGTAACAACATACATGCTAGTAATAACATACATGCTGGTAATAACATGCATGCTAGTAATAATATACATGCTAGTAATAACATACATGCTGGTAATAATATACATGCTAGTAATAACATACCTGCTAGTAATAACATACATGCTAGTAATAACATACATGCTAGTAATAACATACATGCTAGTAATAACATACATGCTGGTAATATACATGCTGGTAATAATAAACATGCTAGTAATAACATACATGCTAGTAATAACATACATGCTAGTAATAACATACATGCTGGTAATATACATGCTGGTAATAATAAACATGCTAGTAATAACATACATGCTAGTAATATACATGCTAGTAATAACATACATACTGGTAATAACATACATGCTAGTAATAACATGCATGCTGGTAATAACATACAAGTAATAACATGCATGCTAGTAATAACATACATGCTAGTAATAACATACATGCTAGTAATAACATGCATGCTAGTAATAACATGCATGCTAGTAATAACATGCATGCTAGTAATAACATACATGCTGGTAATAACATACATGCTGGTAATAACATGCATGCTAGTAATAACATGCATGCTAATAATAACATACATGCTAGTAATAACATACATGCTGGTAATAACATACATGCTGGTAATAACATACATGCTAGTAACATACATGCTAGTAATAACATACATGCTAGTAATAACATACATGCTGGTAATAACATACATGCTGGTAATAACATACATGCTGGTAATAACATGCATGCTAGTAATAACATGCATGCTAGTAATAACATACATGCTGGTAATAACATACATGCTAGTAATAACATATATGCTAGTAATAACATACATGCTGGTAATAACATGCATGCTGGTAATAACATACATGCTAGTAATAACATGCATGCTAGTAATAACATACATGCTAGTAATAACATACATTCTGGTAATAACATACATGCTGGTAATAACATACATGCTAGTAATAACATGCATGCTAGTAACATACATGCTAGTAATAACATACATGCTAGTAACATACATGCTAGTAATAACATACATGCTAGTAATAACATACATGCTGGTAATAACATACATGCTGGTAATAACATACATGCTAGTAATAACATGCATGCTAGTAATAACATGCATGCTAGTAATAACATACATGCTGGTAATAACATACATGCTGGTAATAACATACATGCTAGTAATAACATACATGCTAGTAATAACATACATGCTGGTAATAACATACATGCTGGTAATAACATACATGCTGGTAATAACATGCATGCTAGTAATAACATGCATGCTAGTAATAACATACATGCTAGTAATAACATGCATGCTAGTAATAACATACATGCTGGTAATAACATACATGCTGGTAATAACATGCATGCTAGTAATAACATGCATGCTAGTAATAACATACATGCTAGTAATAACATACATGCTGGTAATAACATA